ATGCAGAAATCATCAAACAATATCATTTATACTACATGTAAGTAAAATTTTCCTCGATATAATATAAAGAAATGATTGCAGCAGAACATTGCCATGGAATTGTCAGTAATCAAAGATTTATTCAAAAGAGCATGGAGAACATGGGTTATTATTGGAAACTTGACTGAAAGCAGAAATACCAGAAAGATGTTTACTTGTGTTTTATTGACTATGCAAGAGCATTTGACTGTGTAGATAATGACAAACTATGGCTAACATTGTGAAGAATGAGAATTCTGGAACATTTCATTGTGTTTATGTAGACTTTGTGCATAGACCAAGAGTCAATCGTAGAATAGAATATGGGATACTGAAAGGTAACATATGTCTCAGTGTTTTATTCTTTTAATATATTTATTCAATCTCTATGCTGATTAGATGATATGAGAAGATGAACCTCTTGAAGGAGAGTGTTGCATTAGAATTGTAGGAAGACTCATTAACAACTTGCCATATACACATGACACAACCTTGCTTGCTGAAAGCAAAGAAAACTTGAGTCACTTGATGATGAAGATCAAGGAATGCAGCCTTCAGTATGGATTATAAGTCAATGTAAAGAAAACAAAAATCATCCAACTGGATGAATAAACATCATGACAAACAATGAAAAGATCGAAGTTGTCAAGGATTTCAAGTTACTGAAAGTGGAGCTGGCAGGAGAGCATGTTACTGTTAGCAAGGGCAACATTCACTACTTTTTTTTCTGATTGTTGTGGATGTTGAATCATTGTCTTCGTTTAGTTCTTCCTTCCTTTGGGATGTTTATTTATTGCTATAAAGTGTCCTCTAAATATTGCTTCTTCAGTGTCCCAAAAGTTTTGGTATGTTGTATTTAAATTCTCATTTAATTAAAGAAATTTAAAAATAAATGTATTGTGCTAAAAAGTTCTTATTCTACATGTGAAATGGTATAATATCAAATGAAGGTAGCCAGAGGCAAATTTAACAAGTATATTGTAAATCTTGGAGTCCTGGTGTGGCACTGTAGGATAAGCATTAACTGAAAAGTCAACAGTTGAAATCCAGTAGTAGCTCCTCAGAAACCCTATGCAGAGTTTCTATATGTAGAAACCAACTTGACAGCACTTAACAACAGTATAAATCCTAAAGTAACAGCCAACTTTAGGAAACAAATTATAACTAATAAGGTAACAAAGAAGATGAAATATTTTTTTAACTCAAGTTAAGCTCAAAAAATAAGAAAAGAGGAAAACAAACACACAGATACAAAAGGAAAATAAATAACTGGTATAAGCAAACCTAAAAACATCAGTAATTATAATTAATTTATATATTATAAACATTTCAATTAGAAGAAAAATTTGTCTTATTGAATTAGAAGCAAGACCCATCTTATCCTTCCCTCAAAATGGCATGTTAATTATAAAGATACAGTGTTAAGTAAAAAATATAAACATATAACATGTTAATAACATAAAAGAAGCTCAAGTGGTTACAATTTTAGACAAAGTAGACTAATGCTGGTTATTGGGATTAATAAAGTAATTTCATATGGATAAATAGATATATTCATCAACATGACATAAAATTCTAAAACTATAAGCATCAAATTAATGAGAATCAAAATGGTAACACTATAAGAAGAAACAATCAGAGATTTTGATATTCCACTTTCTCCATTGATTCTTGAAGTATAATACCATTATTATCTATGGCTTGAGTCTTGAATTCTGTAGAAATTTTCATTATGGTTCAGAAAAAATATCTCTTTTGTAAATGGGCAGTCTGCTGTATAATGTTCATCATATATCAATTAAGTTGATAAACTTCATGGTTTGCACTTTCTGTAATCCTTACTTTTTTATTGTTGTAAGTATATATGTAACAAAACTATTGCTGTTTTAACTTTCATCATATACATGAACAATTCAGTGACATAAATTATATTTATCATGTTTTTCAAACACCATCATTATCAGTTTCCAAATTTCCCCATTGTTGCATTTCATCTGATTTGTCTATCAGTTAGTATAAGTTATATCTTAAATCATTTAATTATAATTTTTTTTCACTTTTCCTTTTGATTTTTAAGTTTTTTTTGTGTATTGCAATGCTTTATTATTTTTTCCATGCCATCCTATTTCAAAATAAGATTATAAAGAATAATGGATAGATGCTGTAATTCTTACATGGTAAATTGGTCTCCAAATTTAATTGTGGAAAAATGCCTTTAGTTTATGCTATTTTGTTATTGTAGTTATCACTGAGTCATCTCTGACACACACAGCAGCCTTACATAGAACAGAACCAAATATTACCTGGTTAAGTGCCATCTTTATGATCACTGTTGTGCTAAAACTTTTATTTAGTTTGATTTTATGTTCATTATTCTATACAGTATTACTGTTTGCATATTATTAAATGCACAGTGCATTTCTATACTTTGAAATGTAAATAATGTATAAAATGCATCTTTTAAAATAAAGGAATATATTTTACTTATAGTGCTCTATAATGCTAAGTTTGAAGACAGCATTATATATTCACTATTAATTCATGTCACATCATCTCCATATGATATTAATAATCTTAAAAGTAACAGAATTGACAGTGCCAATTTTAAATAGTGAAAATTGTATCTCAGATTTAAAATTAAGACATAATTGCATATGTTTTGAAAATTACTTATCCAATATGGTCAATCATTTTGCCATTCTCTAGAGAATATTAGTTACAAATCTCAAGGGTTACTATAAGAACAATGGACCCACATATATGAGCAGACAATATATTTTATTACCTAAATAGTTTTCATCATTTTATCATCTGAATATTTTAAGAATATGCATCCAAGACATTATACAGTAGAGAAAACAAAACTTATCAAACAAATTTACCTTAGTTTTGCTTTCTTGACATAGAGAGTTTAACTTTCAATAATGCAAAATCTTAAACCTTTTGAACGTACCAATTTTTTATGTTACAAAAAACAGCTACTATTCATACATTATTTTTCAGTATGCATAATGAAAGTTGGGCAATGAGAAAGATAGAAGTAAGACTTAAGATATGAATTGTGGTGTTGTTGAAAAATATTAAATATACCAAGAACTGACAACAAAAAGCAAACCAATCTACATTAGAAGATATGCGGTCAGAATACTCCTTACAAAAGAGGATGGTTAGTCATCCCACTTTGTAAATGTTACCAGGAGGCATCAATCCCTTGAGCAGGGTATCACGCCTGAAAAAAATAGAGGTTCAGCAAAAAAGGGGATAACACTCAACAATATAGATTGACACAGTGGCTGCGTCAATGGGCTCAGGTATAATGATGATTTTGAGGATTGTACAGGACACTGCAGTGTTTAATTCAGTGTACATAGCATCAATGTGAGTTGAAAAGAATTGATGACACAAAGCAACAACAATGTTTTCAGAAAAAGAAATATATATTTTAACTTGAATTTATCTTTCTACACTATGGAAAGCATAAACCACACAAACAAACCCAAACTAAGCAAACCCACTTCCACTAAATTAATTCCAACTGATAGTGATTCAATATAGGTTTTCTGAGACTGTAAATCATTATGGAAGCTGACTGCTTCATCTTTCTCCCATGGAGTAACTGGTGGTTTTTAAATGCTGACCTTGTGGTTATCAACCCAATGTCAAACACACAGCACCACTCCTTGTGTAAAAACTAGGAAGGGATGCTGTTGTTAAGTGCAGTTGAGTTGTTTCTGAATCCTAGAGATCCTGTATAAGGTTTGTGAGGTGGATTTGAACTGCTAACTTTGTGGTTAGCAGCCCAGAGCTTATCCTACATTGCCATGCCAGGAATCCAATAGGAAGATATATGTAATCTTTTTTTGTACCAATAGCACCTTCCTCTGATTCTTCTTTTCATATAAAGGAAAAAGAAACAATATTAAATTTCATCATCAACTTTCAGATGTCATTATGTTCTTTTTTGGAGTCCTGCTATGGCACTGCAGGATAGTGCACTGACTGAAAGGTCAATTTGAACCAAAAGGCTGGCAGTTCAAATCCACCAGCCACTTCTCAGAAACTTTATACAGGGTCAGTATGATTTAGAACCAACTCGATGGCACTTAACAATTTTTTTTAGCAGTATTTAAAGAACAAGATTAATGATTCCTGGTGGTGCAAATAGTTAAGTGCTTGACTTCCAATGACAAAGTTGGCAGTTTGAATCCACCAAGCAGCTCCACAAGAAAAAAACATGGTGATCTGCTTTCACAAATATTGCAGACAAGATTACCTTATAGGATAGTTGTACATTTTCACAAGAAGTCTATTGTTGTTGTTGTTAAGTGCCATGGAGTCGGTTCCAACCCATAGCGACCCTATACAGGGTTTCCGAGGCTGTAAATCTTTACGGGAGCAGAACGCCTCATCTTTCTCCCGCGGAGCGGAAGAAGTCTATAGGAGTCAAAATTGAATCAATGGCACTTTCCAATGCAATAATGACCTGATTGTATATCTTAATTGTACTAAGAGATTAGACAAATTTAATACAGCGTATTCTAGGACTTTGTTATTATTCTGTGCCATCCAATCAATTCTGACTTATAGTGACCCTATAGGACAAAGTTGAATTGCTCCAAAGGTATTTCAAGGCTGAGACCTTTACAGGGGAAGATTGCCAGGTTTTGCTCCTGTTGAGTGGCTGATAGGATGGAAGTGCATACTTTTTAATTAATACTCTACACTATAGAAAGAGAATACATAGAAATAAATGTTTAGGAAAAGATAAAAGTTTTATCAGTGATACTACAGAGCACGTCCAATTTTGGCAGAAAAAAAACAAAACAAATTGTGTGTGTCATTATTTCTTTGCTAACACATAATATGATGACTGTCAATTAGATTTTAAGTCAGGTCTCCTAAAGTTAGACATACACAAAAGCATTAATGTTGAAGCATTTTCAACTGGCACAATCAAAGTGGGACTATATATCTTGATATAATTATCTTATAGTTTTCTTGAATTGAGTGACTGTTCTTATAATTCTCCTTATTGCTTCCTTTATCTGCTTGTTTCTAAGACTATAAATAATAGGATTCAATAAAGGGGGAACTATGGAATAGAACATAGACATGATCATGTCCTGGACTGGAAGTGAGTTGGAGGTTGGCTTCAGATATATAACAACACCAGAGCTTAGAAAGACCATAAATATGAGGATGTGAGGGATGCAGGTAGAAAAGGCTTTTCCTCGTTCTCTGGTTGGTAACTTGGAAACAGTAGAAAATATACGGATATAAGAGATGGTGATGAAGGAAAAGCAGCCACCTCCTATCACCATTGCAGAGACAAGAATTCCAATCTCATTGCCTAAGGTGTCAGAGCAGGAGAGCTTCAGCAGAGAGGGAATGTCACAGAAAAACTGATGGATCACGTTGGACTGACAAAATGATAAACGGAATGTGTTGCCAGTGTGCACTCCTGCATAGACCACACCACTTATCACAGAGGCCAGTGTCATCTGGACACAGACACGAGGGTTCATGACCACATGGTAGTGGAGGGGCTGACAGATGGCCACATAGCGGTCATGGGCCATAATAGTGAGTAACAGAAATTCCACAGCAGCACATAAAAACACAAGGAAGATCTGAGCTGCACATCCAACCTTGGAGATCACCCTGTTGTTAAGCAGGAAGACGACACATGCCTTGGGTACAGTGACAGAAATGAAGCACATGTCCAGGACAGACAGATTTCGAAGAAAGAAATACATTGGGGTATGAAGACTCTGATCAATGGTGATTACTGTGATTACAAGAAAATTCCCCATTATAGTAGCCACATACATCAGTAGAAATAGCATGGTGAGTAAAATTCTGATCTCCCACACATCAGAAAATCCTGTAAGTAGGAATTCAGTCACTATGGTAGAGTTACACATTATAGTATAATTTTTTTAGCACTTGGAGAAAAAATGGTAATCCCTAAAAAATATGAAGAATCAAAAACAGGAGAAAAATTATTTATTAATTCTTATTTATTTCTTACATTTTCTGGAGTTGGAAATTCTTAGTATAAAATAGCCAAATGTTGATTCATATAACTTTAGTTTCCTTGATTGTGTAACCTATTTCTAAGTATCAGCAAAATATAAAATTTTGTATTGTGTCCATATGATATACTCTTCTGTCACTGATTTGTGGTGCAATATGTTTAATGGAAGTCAGGTATTTTCCTGACAAATTTATTAACTTAACACAGGTAATTTCTATAAAAGTGTATCATTCTAGAATAAATTTAGGACATCATTAATTGGGGAGAGATGGGAGGCTATAAAATTATCAGAATATCTCAAAATATTTTCTGCCTACAAGAGCAAAACTTACTCTGTTTTTTTCCATCTCCATGATAAAACCGGTGTTATTACTATTCACTTTGATAGTTACGGTATCTAGGCTGTGGAAATATAGCCCTTTATTGAATAGTCTAATGAAATACTTTATTTATTCTGGTAGCGTAGTGGTTACGAATCGGGCTGTGAACCTCAGGGTCAGCAGTTTGAAACTACCAGCTGTTCCACGGGAGCTCCCGTAAAGATTGACAGCCTCAGAAACCCTGCACATGGTCGCTTTGAGTGGGAACCGACTCCACAGCACATAACAACAACAATGTAGCTTGTTTTATTTACATATTGTGCTGTAAGATGTAAATCCCAGTGTAATTATGCAAATTGAAACATTATATTCATAATTTAAAAATGAAATAACAGGACTACTGAAAGGCAAATGACTCTGTTAATCTATGCAATGCCAGTGGAAATGTACTCATTCAAAATTCTCTATCAGAACTTCAGAAATGAACAGTTTCACTGTTTCTCAAGAGGACAATCCATGTTTCCAGTTTAGAGAGACCTTTCTTCTGCTTCATTCATTCTAGCTGTCTGAATACTGTCACAAGCACCTGGTGTTTGGGTACACTGCTATATGACAGTGATCCAGAGCTGGAGCTTACCTCCATTGATTACTTACTAATCCATTACCTAAAAAACTCTTTCCCTTGGTGGCAGTTACTTAATGGAAGATGCATTTATAATTTAAGTAATTTTATGATTGGAACTTTGAAGCCATAAGCATTTTATTACCATAAAAACTTATTTCTGTATACTACAACTTAAGATACTTAGAAATAATTACCCAACCTGAAAAAGTGATTGATTGATGTTGATTAAATGATTTGTGTATTCATTTATTTCACCACAATTAATCTTCACTGTTCTAGAAATTGCCAACAATAGAGTTTAATATCTTTTGTTGTAATTTAAGGCAAGTTAATTATTAGTTGTGCTAATAAATATCTATATAGGTACATTTAAAGCTGGCTAAATGGAGTCTTGGTGCGGCGCTGTGGGCTAATTAGTCAGACTGCAAAATTGTTTGAAGTGCAAGGTCAGTGGCTAAAGCTCACCAACTTCTCCTTGGAAACCCTATACAGGGTCACTATGGATCAGAATTGACTGGAAGGCACTTAACAACAACAAATGAAGTATGTTAAATATTTTTATAGGATATTGTTATTTTTCTCCATAAAATCTGTACATATTTCAAATCTCAAATAATGTAAGATTTATCTAAATAGTTAACTATTTTTCTTATAAACCTACCTGAAAGTTTATTGATAGCATTTTAAGATCAATTTGGTTAAAAATTAGTAATAGGCACCTATAACTAGCCTTACTGTATTTGTGGTAGTTTCTTTGTGAATATTGAGGTATCTGTAGTAATTACTTAGCTTTTCTCTTACTAAAGTCAATTTTAGATTTCTATTATCATATTCTAGAAATTCAACAGGCTTTCATATTTTGATCATATAGTAAAATAAATCAATTAATACTCACCAGTAAGCTTTAGATTTGCAGCTTGAATTTCATAAATAAGTATAGCAGGATTGAAGTTCATATGCTCCAGGGAGAGATTATATTTTGTATATTGACTGCCACTTACTTATTATGCAGCTATGGAGCAATCATTAAACCCCAGTGCCCTTACCTAGAAAAACTTTTAAAACATGTGCATTAGTAATTTCATATTTGTAAAATATTTCAAATAGAGGAGAAACTCACAATGGTAGCTATGTTGATGAAAAATGAGTGAGATTTACCAGTCACTGACAACAATAATATACATGTAATTCTTTTATCACTTACATTTCCTTCATTTTATATCCATAGTACTAATTTCAACAAGCAAGCAAAAAATAAATGGAAAACATCACTCTTCTTTGTCTAATATATGTATTTTAAATGAATATGAAAATATAAAATGTTTCTAACTGGTTTGAGTAGAGTGTCAAAAACACACAATTTTTGATCTGCAAATTGGCATGTGGACACAATATATCTGGTACTGGAGAGTTCTTGATGGGTGGCTAGAATATTACATGATTCTGTCAATCCTCAAGTTTTAAAACAATCTGGTTTTTTGACTTTTCTATAAAGATTTAAAGGACACATTTCAAGCCAAAATGAACCAAAATATATTCTGTTCATTGATGTATTTATTAATTTACCCAAACATCCTCCTAATATTTATTTATAAATTTCTCAATCTTTCAAAATACTTTGAGGTAAATTATATTCAGACAATGGGAGCAGTCATAGTGAAAGTTCTGTTCAAGTGAATAAACACACATTCTTATTATATTAGAGTGTCCTTGAATTACAATTTAAGCAAAATAAATTGTGCATGTAATTTGCTTTTAAAGCAAGTAGGAGAAATGCAGCAGCTCTGTAGGATAAGCATTGGACTACAAACTACAAGTTCAGGCCACCCGCCAGCTACTCTGGGAAAAACATGAGGCTTTCTGCTCTAGAGAAGTTTTACTTTACATTATCGCTATGGATCAGAACCCACTCAATGACACATCACAACAATAGTCACTTAGACACTCTGTACAAGCAGTATATACATCTGAGTGTTTAACAATGAAAACTATTTTTTAATCATTAGTTGAATATCAATAATACACACAAATCATTATTTCTAGTTTTGTTTGATTGTTTAGGTAAATGAAAGTCCATCAAATTAATATTGTAGCGTAAATTTAAACAGTCAAACTACACACTGAATCTGTAGGCAGTATGCAGAACCATTCCGGCACTAGCCTGTGTTTTTGGCATCAGCCAGGACTGATGCTCCTATCTGCTCACTTTGAGTTTTCATGAACTATCAATTCTCCTGACATGACTGGGATTGCACTTCTTAATGTAATCATTAAAAAAGTTTATGCTGTATTTCTTATCAAAAATTTTGTTTAATCCCATTTGTAAAGTCTCTTAATAAGACAATGAGCAGTAAATGAGAGAAGAGAAATTCGTAACTCAAAGAGTAAAAGTAAGAAGCAAGAGAGGAAAAAAATAATAATACCAATAGTTACTCACAAGTTGTCATTTCTCAAGTTGGACAGGCAAACACAGGGTTTCTGGTAAGCATACAAAAATGCTTTAAGTGCAGACAATGATGAATGGGCATAATTCTTGAAATGGCTAACATACTGATAGGAATCATCATTTTTATAGCAATATCCTTAATATTCAGTTACACCTAAAAACACGAGGATGCTGATTACACTACAGAAATCCACTGGGAGTAGAGTACCTGGCATCTGATAATAGCCAGTGCCCACGGGAATATAATTGGCTCTAAATTAGAATAACCAGGTCAGTACGTGTGAGTCCAAATTTTGTATATTAAGAAATATTCATATATTTTAACCTATTAAAAGAATGGTAGAGATTGAAATAATTTAGACAGAAGAAAATAGCAGTTTTTCTAATATTTTATGTATTCTTATTGTGAAATACTTTGAATTGTAGAGACTAATGAGAAGGAAAGGCCAAGTGTTCCTCTTCAGCTAATTTGAGGACATGATTGTCTTTTCATCCTCAGAATGAAAACCTGAGAAATGGAATAATTTGCAGTCACATAAAGTCTACACTAGTTACGTAGTGGACAACATAGCTCTTGTGAAACTACTTCACAGGTCAACATAAAGCTATTGTATACTACTTCTAAGACTAGTCACAAAAGATCTGTGCCCAGGAGCCTGTGTATCACAGATACATCACTTTATCACATATGCTTCAATTTCTTCATCCTTTAACATGTTAACAAGGGTGCTCACCATCATAGTCTTTGAGAAAGTGATTTAACGAAACATATGAAAGGAGCTCTGGTAGCGTAGTGGTTACGAATCGGGCTGCGAACCTTAAGGCCAGCAGTTCGAAACTACCAGCCACTCCGAGGGAGAAAGATGAGGCTTTCTACTCCCGTAAAGATTTACACCCTCGGAAACCCTGTACAGGGTCGCTATGGGTCGGAACCGACTCAACGACACTTAACAACAACAACATATATTCAGGAGCCCTGGTGTGGCTCAGTGGGATAAAGTATTGGACTGCAAGGTCAGTTTGAACTTCATGGTCAGTGGCTTAGACTCATCAGCTACTCCTTGGAAACCCTATGCAAGGTCACTATGAGTCGGAACTCAACAACAACAACAACAACACAAAGCATTTAGATTAGCACCTGGAACATTCCATATAGGGAAGGGCTGCATTATTTTTTATTAATCAGTCAGAATCCATTGGGAAAGTAGAAGTGTCTCCTTGGTTCTTAGAGGTGTTATTTGTCTTTTTGCTTATTTTAAAATGATTATCAGTTTTGTTTTAACAGTGCTTGAGCAACACACTGTGATTCAAAAGTGCTGCTGATGTATGTTAATATGACATATGACATAATTTGGAACAATTTCAGCATACACTTCAGAAAAAAGTATATCTGTGTCATTAGAAACAATATTCTTGTTTTCATTAGGGGCTGTCAAGTTTGTTCTGACTTATAGTGACATTATACACAACAGAATGTAACACTGCCAGGTTCTGTG